GTTGTGGGAATATGCCAGGGCTCATGGTTTGCAGAGGGAAGACAAGCTTCATGAGCTGAAATTGTCGAATTTCCTCCCTCTACGAACATGAACTTTATCAACTCTATAGCAATCGCAGCCCAATTAACAAGTGATCTATCGTATGGTTGATTTGACATCCAGTCAAAGCTCCTCGCGAGATTGATGCTAGTCCCGATGTTCTTTGTTGTAAATAATTGTAGCACCAAAGCTCCTCGCAGGATTGATGCTAGTTCCAGTGGCCAAATGAACAAAAAACACAAGGCTTTCATTGTCTGGAACACCATATTCAACATCCATAACTTCGTTGGTCACTTTCACAGCTCATTCGACTCCCTGAAAAGAAGCTGAGTACAATGTACTTGATCACTTGAGCAAACTCCCCAGTCAAATATCTTCTCCTCACTTCATTAACACATAGGCAAATAAGAAATCTCAAACAAAAAAGATTGAGCTAAATAACTACGGTGAAGTACTAAATTTACTAACTTTTCATGACAATTTTCACTATTGCAAAACAAAAACAAATGAAGGTGTAAATGGTGAAGAACGGATGCCAAAATCTTGCAATGGGCATGGATGCATATCATGCAATATTTTACAACTTAGTCTTTATTTTTTTTTTGGAATACTTCAATCAATGTCTAAAGATATATTCTTTAAACTCTCTACCAAAATATTTACATATTTTATAAACCTCTCTACTTTTGTAGAATTCTGTCTAATTTACAAAGCCTCCAACATTCAAGAGAAGGGTGGAGGAATCTATGACGAGTGAGCAACCTTCTTTTCTCTCTTTTTATTTTTTTTATTCTCTTATTCTTTAAATTTAGTATTGAAATTTTATACACTTGCTGCATCCATTTTATACTTTACTGAAATTCTATACACTTGGGGCCTAAATTTTATTCAATTGTTTATCACCGAAAAAAGTTATATATGACAAACAAAATAGAAAATGAATTCATAGAACAAGAGAGCACAAAAAATACACGGCACAGTCTAATTCAATGCATCAAATATATATGCGTCTACATATATATACATATGTACATATATAATTATATATAGAGACTTTTACAAAGAATAAAAGTACAAAACAATTCAAGGTTAAAACAATTTGGAACACGACCCCATAATTTTTAGAATATAAGAGTATATGTCTATCACGTAAATTTATAAAGGTTTTCTTTAAATGATAGTGAAATAAAACTATGTGACCCAAGGGATACGATATTTGGTTGCTAAGTTAGAGAAGGAGAACATTGTTCGTTTGATTTTTCTTTTCAGGTCTGTCTCACAACTTTACCATATACCAATATTGGTTCAAAGAAATGTGGGTCTTATTCTTCCAATATTCCAAAGGAGGCATGTCACATCAATATGATGATATATCAACAGTGAGAAAAAACAAATAAAAAAAAATTTATATATATATATATATATATTCTTTCTGACTTGGTATTAGACTTAACATTGACTTGATATCGTCGTATTATACGCATACATACGAGCTTTTAAAAAATACACTCATTCTTTCTGAGCTTGGTATTAGACTTAACAATGACAATGAAGGATCAAAGATGTCAACCTTATCCACTTGAGTTCGACATTAGGAATGCTATAGAAAGCCAAAAATACCAACTTTCCAACTCCAAATGAAATAAAAAATACAAAAACATCAAAAGAAAACCCTAATTTTTCATGTATAGAGTTTTATCACCAAGGAAAGATCAACTTACCTACTATTTCAAAAGGATGAGCCCCTCATCTCTTCGGACAAATGGTTACAGATGATCTTGAAGAAGAGGTACAGAGATTGAGATGAGAAAGGGAAAATGCTTGCTGCAGCAATGAAAAATAAGGAAGGAAATACCGAAATAAGGTTAGCTTTGGGTATTATCACATTGTGGATTGGGTCTTTGTTTGGGATGGACCATGCTATGTTTTAATGGGCCATATTATGTGGGCTAATCAATATATATATACGTACTTTTTCTTTTCTTTTCTTTTTTTATTTTATAGTTACTTTTCTTGACAATTAACTCACATTCCTAGTTTTGTTTCTACCTTGGTAGTTTATGAATGCATTATTAATTTTATGTCTAAAACAATGCCAGGTAGAAGATGGAGAGAAATCTAAAGCACCAATCATTTTATATGGAACTCAATAATTGAAAATAAACTGCCTTTTAATAATATTTCTTTAGGTTTCGATTGGATATACAGGAGAGAAAATAAATAAAAAGTCCCCAAAAGTGACACTTTTTATGGGACGGAAGAAGTATTAGTTACTAGGGAAAGGAAACAAAAGAATAATAATAATTTATCTTCATATTTGGATAAATAGGAGAGAAAAGAAAAGAAATATTAGTATTTTTTTTAAGATAAGATAAAGGAAAAAAATAAAAAAATAAAAAAATAAAATAAAAGATAGCAATCGAATTACTATCATACCCTCTATCTATAATTTTTGAGATGATTCAATGTTATAATTTTGGAAAGAAATTATCACTGTCCCACTTTCCTTTCCTTCCAAATCTTCACATATTTTTTAAGGGATGCAATATGAAGGATCCCTCCAAATCCTTCCCGATCATTTCATTCTCCTCAAATCCTCCCATCCAAACACAACATTTCATGTCCTTTCTTTCTTTTCTTTCCTTATCCCCAAATCCTCTCTATCCAATCGAGACCTTAGTTATCACAAAGCAAACACTTCGTAATGTATTTCATCAGAGTTACAATAAATTCATTTTAATTATTCGATTACATTGTGTCCTTTTCTTACTTAAAAATCACATTATTTATTATCATTTGCAGACGGCAACTGAAATATCATGCAATTGAAATTAACTGATTGAAAAGGCAATTAAATGTTTGATGTTGGTCAGCTTAGCTACCAAAACAATGAACTTAACATGTTTGGAATTTCATTTCGACAGCTTTTTTAAAGAATATTTAGTTATGGTAAGCTTTTTGAAAGTCTACCATGTGCATTGATCCTTGGAATGGAGGATTTTTTTTATTTTTATTTTATTTCATTTCATTTTATTTTATTTTATTTTGTTTGCTAATTCTTAACCCGTTAGCCCATTACTTCCAGAAGTTTAAATCAGGTAGTATTTCATTGTTCAAGTAAATCAGGTAGTACAGTTATTTTTTTTAGCATGTAAAATGTTTCACAAGATGGATTGTGATTTTTAAGGGGAACATTTTACCAGATGGCTTGAAATAAGGCTTTCTGAATGTTCTATAAGGAAACTACTCTATACATCAGCATAATATCTGAGTTAGCACGGTGTGTTGAGTCATGACCATACAAAATAGTAGTGTTTGAGGCTACTTTCATTAGATTACCCTGCATATTGTAAACATGTAAGTCAGAAATTAATTCGACTTACTTTATCTAAATTGAACTATGGATAAAAAAATAATACTAATCTAAAATTTAAGATTCAAATTGGTTGAAACATTTGATTTGGTATATATATATCAAACATAAATTAATAAATAATGTCTTTATTACATACGGAAGTTCTTTCAAAGTTTGATGTGAATCGTATCCTTATACTTTTTTTAAAGTATGATGTGAATCGTACCTACAACATAGTTTTGTTAAATATGTATGAGATAAACCAATCCCGCTATAATATTTTATTCTCATTTGAAACTCTAAATAATAAAATTTTATAGTTAGTTCAGAAGTATTTATAGACATCCCTTATTAACTATGTAACTAACAAGTAGCAATTTCGATTTTAATAGCCGGCCTCTTATGTCTAAATTTACGTAATGGATGACTATAAATAAAATCTCCAACTCTTATATAGATATTATCCAATAGAAGAAGATCTATTCTTTAGAACTTCCACAACAAAATATCTATTCATTTACAGACTATGGTTCTTTAGAATTCTTCTATTCTTCAAATTTCTTTTAAAACTTTCCAATATTTTAGAATCTTTCATTTACTCTATAATATTCCACAGTTTTTTACTCAAGACTGCATAATTCAGCTGCATAAAAATATCCTTTATAATATTAACATGTGTCAAATTAATACGATATCAACGGTAAGAAAAACATTATTACTTAGTATATAAAAAGACAAACATTATTCATCACGACAAAATAATAGAAATAAAAAGTGAGGCCAATACATATTGGAATTGACATCTTATTCTATGAATATGTGGGAGCTTTTTCACAAGTACACACATTTGCTGTCAGTCCGGAAAAATAAGGTAAAAAACATGTATCAAACTCTTCAATTCAGCCCGGATTGAGAAACAGAGTCCAATAAATGGCGCCTTCATTGTGGATCACCTTTACATAAACCTTGAGTGAGGAAGTGAGAGAAGGTGCACCCTGAAAAATTCCAGCAACAACTTACCGCTTTAATGTCCCGTTGGTCAGGGACGGATCTATGTTGTGGATCTATGTTGTGGCCAGTAGGGCGGGCGCGGGGCGCGCCCATTAAAGGAGGTACGTGAAAAATTATTTTCACCAATATTAAATATAATTCTTTATAAATTACTGACTTAATTGTCCGAGCATCCTCGGCTGGCACCACAACAGTGTTATACGAAGTGACGTTATCTATTTGTTTTGCAGGAAACGTCCCCGTTCCAAGTTGCGCTGATTTTTGCTTCAACAAAATTTATAATAGATGAAGCTAGATTTGTGGTAGCAACTTTAACATGAGTTGGAACACAGTCTTCATTCCTTGCATTGTAATTTGTTGCACATATCATCGGCAGGAGCTCATGAACTCAAGCCCCTCCAAGTTTTTTTTGTGATATATAAAGAAAATTATACAACAAAGGTACTGGGAAAAATAATGAAGAGGAAAAATAATAGTGAAATCCATGTTTACACCAGCAAGAAAAAGAAAGATGCTAAGAGAAAATTATTGAGGATATTTAACTCAAAATCAATAATGATTAATAAATGAAGCATCTAAAAACATATGGGCGGTCTGAAAAAAAGTGCACCATTGTAATACATATAAATAAAAAAACGTGCACATTTGTAATATAAAAGTTACAGAACTGCTAGCTCACCAGCAGCAGGGGAACCTGACCTCTCCCACAACCATTTTCGGTTCGTGTCTGGACACACTCTCTCTCTCTCTCTCTCTCTCTCTCATGCTAAATTAGACAGTAAGTCACCAAAAAAACATCCTTAAAATCAGCCTTACATGGTCATCGGCAAAAACATCTAAACTTTTACCAAACCAACAAACTCTCATATAAAATCAAACCAGAATCATTTTACTTTGCATTACATTGAAAAATCCCGCATTCTTATATAAGAGAAATTCTCACACACAAATAACCACATAACAATACTAACTAATCGATGCAAGTCATTCATATGGAAGAGCCTTCTCACTCTTGTTCATCATGGTAATTTTCATATAACATTCTAAAAGTTATTTTCACAATGGAATAATAATGTTTCTCCCTCTCCCTTGTTTGGGAAACAAGAATCTCCCGCTAGAAAATGATCTCTTCATTGCAACAGGACTTGTAACACAATGCAACACCCTGTTTCTATGGCCTGACTTGCTGATTTCCCCTACTGGTCTTTTTGATGAACCTGCATCTACCTGCAACTGGCACTCTTCCACTTCAAAATCGTCATCTTGATTGATTCTCAACATATCAGCAACCGAAACACGGCTTTGACACAAATAACCCATGGACACTGACCTTCTAATTTGTTGATCTTCTTCATTTCTAATCTCAATTATGGTGTCTCCTTCTGAATCCCCTAAATTGTTGAGATCTTGTAATGGGGTCCGGGGCACATCACTTCGCCAAATTTCTTCTCCTCTAACACTCATCTCTATATCTCCTGCAACAACTACATTATCATTATCATTCTCACAATGATTCTCCGATAAAGATTCATTGTTCAATGAAGTTTCTGTCAACGGAGGAGGCAATTGACCTGGTGAAGCGTTCGCCAAAACTATGTTGGCTCGACAAAGAGGGCAATTCGAGTGAGATTTAAGCCATGTATCAATGCATGTGACATGGAAAGCATGACTGCATTTCGGTAAGAGCCTTAGGCTCTCATCTTCTTGAAACTCACTGAGACAAACCGAGCAATCAGTCCCTTCAATCAACCCATCTCCCTTATTGTACTTACAAACAGTAATCAACTTGATTAGAGCCTCGTCCAAACCGGTTGTGGGAACATGCCAGGGCTCGTGGTTTGACGGATCATGAATTTCTTCCAATTCCTCATTAGGGTCATGAATCTCTCCTCTTCTTGCTGAATCCATGTTCCCACAATACTTGGAAATTATAGCATAGTAACTAACTAGAAGGAAACCACTTGCCAGAATGCCAATGATGGCGATGACAAGAGGGGAAAATTTTGGGCCAGAATCATTGTCGGGAAAGCTGTAGGGAGGTGGAGGGGGGAAGATCATGTAGCACCATTGTGGGCAGTACAAGCTACAAAAGCCTTGAGAACAGTCCTTAGTGTTCATATATGGTACCCATGTCTTTGGGTTGCCTATAGACCCCATGGACAAAATGGAAAACTTCTGGGATTTAATCTAATTTCTCTTCTAACATAATACAACTTCCTTTCTTCCTACTATGTAAATAATGATCAACATGAAAATTTAACAAGATTGAATATATCATTCAGATGCATTGGACTATCAAATAAGTAAACCAGAAACTCACAAAAATAAAATAAAATAAAATTAGAGAACAGCTTAGTTGCTGCCTCTGTGAATCTATAAAATAATGCAAGAAACTTTTATACAATAAAATTACCTGACTTAATTCTATATGGAATTGGAGACCTCTGTTTTGGGAGGTGGATTATAATAACAATGATTAGCAGTGGAATAAACACAAAACAAATTATGGGTTTTGAAAGATTTTGGAACTTGGGAAGGCTTGAGGATCAAGTACAGGGAAAAGAAGTGAGAGCTGCTATGGTGGGCATTTCTTGAAGAAAATAACTTAGGGTGGAACAGGAGCCAGAGAGGCTTTAGATGAAAAAGCAAACCAAAGACAGGAACTCATGATGTGCAAATGGGGTATTCCTCCTTTTTCTTTTCTTGTTCTTTTCTTTATCTTTCTTTCTTGAAGATAATGGTTTGTTGACTAAGGTTGCAATGTTGATTGGGGATTTATCAAAGTAATCAATGCTTTTATTGTTGTTGAAGCCAGCAGCAGGTGGAGTGAATATTTTGCTTGGGACAGTCTCTTCTTTTAATTAAGTGGGAGCATATATATATATATATATATATATATATATTGGTTGGCCTTTATATATGCTCCCACTTAATATATATATATAAAGAAAACTGATATGATTATTTTTGGGAGGGGAATAAGGAACACAATAATACAATTTGTAAGGCTTTCAGTATTTCATTCTCCAAAAGCATCAAAAGAGCTGTCAGTGGGCTTCTTGTAAAAGGTCAGTAGATGCTACATGAGATGGGGCACATATGCCCACACCATTCAAGATTCCAATTGCATGCTTTAAAGTTTTGGACTAACAAAATCTTGATAAAGTAAAGGTGTGGCTTAACAATATCCAGATGATCATAGGGCCAACTCCTAATTATCAAATAACAACATAATATATATATATATATACCCTTCTATATGAAAATAAATAAAAAATATAAAAAATCAACCATTCTCTAGAGTCTAGAGGAATCTAGGAGATTACTTTTTTGCAGGGTAAATGAGGTCAAAAGATGAAGATATCTTACAAAATAACTTCCTTTAGTCATCTTAGTGTATGATCCAAGAACAGTCAATAGAGATTCTTTTTTGAGTCACTGTGTAAGAATCTCTCTCTCAAAGTCACTCCAATCCTGTACCAGTTAGGGCTGTAACTTGGGCGAGTTAACCCAGCCCAACCCAAGCCTAACCCAGAAATTTGAAATTGGGGCTTATATTCACAAGTCGGGTTCATGTTCGGATTGGGTTTTGTCAAAATCTAGACAAAATCGGGTTGGGCTGGGCTCAACCCGAACCCAACCCAAAACCTTTTTTTTTTTTTTTTTTTTTTTTTTTTCATCCTTTCTCTCTTCTCTCTCTTTCTCTATCTGCCACCGTCCATGGGCGAAGCTTGAGAGTTGAGAAGGGGGTTTTTTTTCCTCTTCCTTCTTTTTCTTTCTCTTTCTCTTTCTCTGTCTTCTTTTTCTTTATCTTTCTCTCTCTGCCGTCATCCATGGGCGAAACTTGAACAATCTGGGTTTTGATTTTTGGAACAAATCTGAAATGATATGGCGAAGCTTGAACCAATCTGGCAAAGCTTGATCAAACTAGACAGCGGGCGATGGAAACTGAAAGATATGGGTTTTGATTTTTTAAACAATCTAAAATGATATGCCGATGTTTTGATTTTTTGAATAATCTGAAATGATATGCCGATATGGGTTTTGAACTTTTGATTCTAGCACACAGATAGATAAAATTGAAATATGTGGGTTTTGAACTTCTGATTCTTGTAGATTTTGTAACTTACAGTTGGAGAGAGAGAGAGAGAGAAAGAATGGAGCTGGAGGCCATAGGGGGGCTGAAATGATTTGCCCTAAAAATATTTTGTTTTTTTTATTTATAATAATATAATCAAATATATATAATATATAATATAATATAATATATATAAATTTTTAAAAAAAAATTAAAAAAAAAAAAAACCTTAACCCGTCAACCCAACCCAACTCGTCCGAAAATATTCGGTTCGGGTTATGATCATAACCAATGGTCAGTACAATTCGGGTTGGCCCAACCCAACCCGCTTCGGGTTGAGGTTGGGTTAGGACTGGGCTGAGTTGGGCCAACCCAAGTTGCAGCCCTAGTACCCGTTATTGCCTACAGTAATTTATTTTTTCAGAACAAGTTCCTTATAATATAATTTATTACCACTTTGCTAACAAATACTTAAACCTCCTTTAACAACTTTGTCGCAAATTTTAAATTCCTTAAATACCCTTACAGCATCTTCCATCAATACCTTCTGCATATCAGGGGCAATTATGGCAACTAGAAGAAAGAGGCTTGACCCTATTTTTCTTTTGCCCTTATCTCATGTCCAATGGCTATAAAGATGAAAATGAAAAGGCCATGTCTGCATCTCTTCCTAACCGTATTTAAGGTCAGGTACAAGTGACAGAATAAATATATGGAATATAATGTCTGCAGAGAAAGAAAGGAATGCTAATTGAATTGTGTCATGATTCTTATAGTGCACATAATTTCATGTAATCACCACCTATCTCATAAAGTTACCAAACAAAATATAAAATGTTGACTAAACAATGATCGATAATAGTGGGTTTAAAAGTTGAAGTAATGATTCTATACTTTTCACAATAACAGAAAAAGAATGATATGAAACAGATGCCAATACATTCTTGCTCCTGAATCCAACAATTTTACCAAACACACATAAAGAGACCCCAATTAACTCGATTTTACCACTCTAGAATCACAAGATTTTTAATAGCAACAATAAACAGTAACTTAATTCCGCGGGCCAGGGCTGGGGGAGGACCAATAAACAGTAACCGTTATTTACAGTTATTTCTGTTACAATTTTGTTCATAGGTTCTAGAGAAATTAATATTCTAAAATTTACTAGCCAACAGAATGGATGGGACTCACTGAGGAACAGAGGTACTGCTAAGATATAACTATATGTTAAACCTATTTATTGCTGTTCAGTAAGCACACAAATTGTAAAGTCCCCACCAAACAAACAGTGTCTCTATAAACTTCAGTTATGGTATAATGAGATGGGGAACTTCTGGTCACTGAGTCTCTCTCTCTCTCTCTTTCTCTCAAATCTTTTTTTGAATTCAAAAACTCCGAAAACCATTAATCTCAACTGGTCTTAGCTACATAAATCCTTGTTTTAAGCTTTAACAATAGCCAGTTAGCCACATCCAAGTCACATCCTTGGCAGTTCACACATATATTTTCTTTAACCACCTTGAGAACTTTATAAGAAGGTAGCAATAGAAATGAATTGTATAACATTATCGAATTTGTGATGATGCCAAAAGATCAAATTTTATGACCGCACAAAGAATTGAAGAAAATAATAACAATACAATATGCTGAAAAGGATCTCTCCTGAAGCAATCATACTATGTGGAATCAATTATATTTCTACAATTTCACATAAAACATTTTCAGGCAATTTAACAAGGTAAATGAGACATAATAGCTCTAGTTTTCAGTAAGTACAAATAAAGCATTATAAGTAAACGCAAATATGTGCAAACCACACTGCCTTTCATCACTGTTATGTGCAAGAGCGTTGAAAATGCCAGATTGGGACACATTTTGGAAGTTATCTGCAAACCACAGATCAAGAGGACTAAAGAATGTGTCGTTCTATGATTGTTCAGGTTGCCCCTAGGCTTTGTCTTCTTCAACCTTTTCATTTCCAGATTCATCAACATTCTTTTCACTGAATTTCAAACGAATTGGTCGGTCACACAATTCCTGCATTAGGAACAATCAAGCATCTCATGAACCTGACAGAATAGTACATACATGTACAGAAAGAAATGCACGCAGGATATTCATGTATTTTGATAAAATCATATCCTATTCAGAACCTGTAGCATTTCAATATGCAATATGCACCATACATATTATAATACAACTACATACGTCTATGAGTCCTACTAATGCAATTCCAGAAAGCATCATCATTCATCAAGTAAAACAGAAATAGCTTAGGAGAAAAAGATATCTTAGATTGATTTAACATTGAATACCTTCCCATCCAAAGCAGAAATTGCAGTCTCTGCTTCCTCTTTCGTGGCAAATGAGACAAAGCCATACCCAGCAGATCTTCCTGACGGACTATCAAAAACAACCCTAGCTGAAATTGGATTAAAATCGGCACCGAAAAATTCTTTGAGATGGCTAGACCTCACTTTCCATGCAAGATTGGACACATATAGCTTATGGCGTGTCTCTCCAGGTGGGGGACCTACAGGAGGAGGACGTGAAGGTTTCTTGAATTTCTTTGCAAACTCAACCCTGATAATCCTACCCAACAATTCCTGCAACAAGACAAGCATAAATTTGTGTTGCCGTAAAAATGGGAAAAAGAAATAAAGAAAAAAAAAAAAAACTACTAGATGCAGCATAAAATATTTTAAGTGAAGCAGCTATAAGAGTTGAAATGAAAATGAAGAAAGAATCTACAGATTTGATAAAAAGTGACTACCTCTTCCTTCCATCCAACATCAGCTATTCAGCAGATACAATTTTTCCAGAGCCAAAAATAACGAAAATAGAAGGATATGTTTTGAGAAAGGAAGGAAATCAATACTACAAAGATATTCAAAAGTCTTCCACTCAACGGTTGGGGGAGTGCTCTATTTGTACCCAAGTCTTCTGTTCAGTCATGGGGGTTGGGGAACAAAAACAATTGAGAGAATTGATTCAAGTATCAGCCTTTTCCTATTCCACTAAAGATCCTACCAGAGTTTGTGGCATTCTTGAATAGAGAGATCAAGAGGTGTGGTCTAATCAGATCCAAATTTAGAAAACACTCCTCAGGAAAACTCAGAACCTTCCTCATACAAGTCCATGAAAAATTGATATCAATTTGATTATCTTACTCATTTGAGGGACCAAGATCGATACAAAGCCCCTAATCAACTCCAAACTATTCAAAATATTTTAGTTTATAATATTTATCATAACATTTGCAAGAACAACTATTAGCTTCAATGGTTAAAATTAACAAGACATCCTCGACCCAACAGAAGAAAAGCTATTTTCACAATTATTTGTGGTCAAACACAAGATCCAGAATATTGATCTTCATGGACTTATATTCTGTTAATTATGCCCCCAAAACACTTCTCTTATATCTTAAAGCCCTGTCCCAAAATTTCATGTTTCATTTCATGGCAGAGCCTTTGTTCAATCCCTCTTAAGTTTTATACATGTGTGTGTCTGTGCTTCTGTTTGTGTGTGTGTGTGTGTGTGTGTAATTATGAATTTGGAAAGAGTAATTCGTGCAACATTCTGTATCTTCTTTGTTCTTATCCATGAGAAGTATGATACACAGTTGTTACTTATCTACCATGTTTTCAATGCTAAACATCATATTGAACTGCTTTATCAATCTGGATATGCCTATCACCCATGTATCTCCATGCCTCGATTTAAATACCATCTAATCCAAAAAAATTTGCAGTCTTTGTCTTTCTCAAAATATGTCCAACCTCGTTTACAGAGTTTCTCCTTTAACTATTAGAATTACTAAGGGTTGAGTGCAGAAAACACCTCTCTATTATGCTTACAGTGCATATCAACCCCCTTGTGCACAAAACACTCTTAAAGTATCAAAATGTGTAAATAAGTCCTACCCGACACATTAAAGTTAGAGTTTTACAAAACTACCCTTACACGTTTTACACATTAATTTTAAAAAGGTGATTTTGTGATATGACAAGAGGACCTCGAATTGATTGTATCACAAAGTGCAAATTCAATCTCTAATTGATTTATTCAATCTGTCATCCAAAGGTTGGGTAGCAATATACATATATGTATGTTAGTCATACTCCCTCCGTCCCAAAAAAAGAAACTTGTGGGCATCAAGAAACTACAGTAATCGGTTAAGGGAAGCTGTTAATCAGATTAAACTGAAGATTCCACTGGTGAAAGAAGAGGAACAAATGTTTGAAATCTCTCTTCAAGAACAAATGTTTGAAGTCTCTCTTCAAGAACAAATGTTTGAAAGCTCTCTTCAAGAACAAATCTTATTTTGGGACGGAGGCAGTAGTACTTTATGTAAAAAACCCACAAAAAGTAATCTGAGGGGTGTTTTAGCACATTTTTAAAAGAATAAGGGAGATAACAGCACACTTTTTAAAATAGGGTGTGAAAGTGCTATGCGGAGTATACTTTAGGTTTAGGGGTATTTTCCGCACTTAACCCAATTATTAAACCATTTTACAGCTAAGCTCACATATATTTCATCAAAGAATCAGTAATAATGGCTATGGCACATCTAGTCTCGTGATGTCAATAATTGTATCTCATACTTCAATGATTCTTTGTTTTCTCTCCTACCCCAATTAATTCAAAGAAGATTACTGACTGGCTGATTGCAACATGTCAAAAAGGAGCCACTCAATACAAATCGAAGGCACTACAAAAGAAGAGGAAAGCAGAAAATAATTGCTCGATGTAGCAAGAAAAAAGACCCAATAGCCTATTGATTAACACTGAAAGGCCTGCAAAATGAGTTCTAGCATCTAAAATAATATTTAATTAGATACTGCAAACTCAACTCAACAAAGCCTTTCCCAAAAATTAGTACCACATACTGTTGAAAAATTAAGGTTCTTTTTGTATGGAAAATTTTAAATGAATGGATTTATGTTTAATTGTTTAAGGAGGATAGTCTAAATTTAGGTTTCATAATTTAGCAATAACAAGGTACAGAAACTTATTTGAAATCCATGCAAATTCTAGTTGCACAAGATTGTAATAGAACATTTCTTGCAGGCATACATCTAATAACATTGCCTTGGACTTCCAATCTAACTTCAATAGCCAATCTTTTATTTAAAGCCAAATCCATTGATTTGAAATCTATCATTTCTTCAAAACTTCAAATGAACCACAACATTTCACATTTAAGATATACATGGGCGAACTCAAATGCAAGTGAAAATTTTCATCATTTTTTCATTTTCAAAACACAAACCTATTCCAATCAATAAACCAAAGAAAGAAGTTAAACAACCAAAAAAATAAATTCCAAAAACAACTTACATGAGAGTCAAATTTATCAATAACAGCCTGCGCTTCTTCCCCAGAAGCCATCGTGACAAATGCAAAGCCTCTGTTCTTCCCATCTTTTTGTTTTATAATCTAAATGTTCCACACATCCAAATAAAAACCCAATACCCAAAATCAATAAATGAATACAATCCTACAAAACCATATACATATATAGATATAGATATGTAGAAAGAGATAAAAAAAAACCTCAACATCTGTGACAGTTCCACATTCGCCAAAAAGGTTCTTGATATCAGCAACAGTGTAAGACCATGGCAAATTGAGCACGAAAAGCTTCTTCCTTTGATTTGATTGTTGGGTTTCCTCTGTTTTTTCTTCTACTGCTACATCCTGAACTGCTGAGCTTATTTCGAAGCTCAATTTTCTGGTTTTGTTGATAGAGAGAAGTGGGTGGGGACAAAGATGAAAATTGAGAGAGAGGGTTGGGGTAGAAGTGGAACTGTGGTGCTTTACAGAGAATGAACGTCTAGGGCATAAAAGCAATTTCGGAGAAGTTGAAGGGTAGGAACGTAGGGTGGAGAATGCTGCTTCGAGTGCCGCCATTGATATCCACTGAAAAGGAGAAGTTGAAGAAGACGAATGAAGTTTTAGAAGAGGTTTCAGGGGTATAATAGTCATTTTACGACCTTTGTGGATAATGTACGTGATGGAAATTATACTTGAATGATGTGAAATTGTGGATCAGTGGGCTGTATGGGCTTTCACTTGAGCCCTTATCTATAAATTATTCATTTGTTATCTAAAGATTCTAGCCTCTTATTTGGTTGGAGAGCAGGCCCAATGAATTCTAGGGCCTGAAGTGTAAGACCTTTGGCCCTTTGACCAGTCGATTGTCTTTAATGAAAAATACCTCTCTCTATCTCGGCCCGGTTATGGGCTTCCAAAACTTTTTAATTTGTTTTAAAAGAGTCTAGTGCAATTATTTAGTTGGGAACTTTTAGGCAATGAATTTGAAGCCCAAGCCTAGCAGGCCTTTGACCAGTTGATGGTCTCTCTCCATTAACCCCTCCAATCCCATGTCCACATTAGACTAAGAAATTTTTATATAATTAGGATTATTATCAATCAAAACTCAACAAGCAAGTAAATGCATTAATTTTATTTCGCCATTTATTTGCATGTTGGGTTGTAATTGATCAGATCACGTAGTCCCGATCACTCACAACTTGACATACAAATAAAACACTGTATAATACTGACACATTTACTTGCTTGTCGAATTTTTATTGACAAGAATCATATAATTCCAGATCATTATAGTAGTTCCAAATCATTATATTTGTCTTAATTGATAACCAAGTTAACCCTAACCTTAACCAAAAACCAAGCTCCACACGTCATTTCTTTTACTACAAAGTGCCAATGGGTCGAGGTGACTAAAATTATAGTGAAAAAATTGCTTTTATTGTAATTGGTATGTGTAATTGCCCCAAATTTTAAAACATTTAACTAGTCCATTGAGCTACACTTCTTTTCTTTTCTTTTTTTTTTCTTTGATTCTCCAAGGCAGAGGCAAGGAAGAGACAAAGTAATGAAGGCAATTCATTCAATGAAACAACGGTGGACTTTTAGACATGGTCCAACTTCTTCCAGCAAGGTAACGTCAGTCTGGAAGTGGCCAAAAATCTCAATCAGGGAGGAATTGGACAATTTAACTTTCTCATTCCATTGTCAACTTCAATTCCACAAATGAATTAAAACTCCCAAATGTTCTAGAATTGAGATATTTTTCTTATAATGTGGCCGTACCTTGTAGGGTCTTGACTTGAAAAGATACGGAGATGAAAGATCTAACAAAAACCTGAAATGTTGAATGACTCAAAATTGAAAATTTCTTAGTATCAAAATTACCAATTCAAGCCTTCATTGTAACACTTTTAAGGCTATGTTTGGTAGGCATAGAATTAGAAAAAAGCAACTGAAAAAATTGAATTAAAATTTTCATTAATTCCATCAATTCCAAAACTTCAATTCCAATTCTAAAACTTCAATTCTATGTCACCAAACACAACCTAAGTAAATTTCTTTTATTTATTTTCTAGAAAATATACTAATTTTTTAGGATGTATTTATTTTTATGAGTAAGTCATACAAACGATAAACCCTTGCAACTCCAAGTCATCCCATTGAATTCCAACTTGTGTGTTTCTTCCATGCTGAAAAGCAGTATGGTTCCATGCAGGAGTGCCATGATTGGAGATGGGTCTGCTAAAAGTGGCATATGAAGGGACGGACCCAGCAGGGGACTAGGGGGCGCAGATGCCCCCCTGAATTTTTAATATTTTTATTTTATACCCTAATGTTTTTAAAATTTATGAAAATGCCCCCCCTAAAATTATAATTCGCCCTCACTGGATTCTTTTGTTTTTAGCATTTTATACTTCAAATTTTGATAATTTATGAAGATGCCCCCACTATAATTATAATTTGTCCCACTGATTTTTTTTTTTTTTTCATTTTATACTTAAATTTTTTTTAAAATTTATGAAAAAAACCCTATTAAAATTACAAAAATGAACTCATCATATAATTTTGTACCCACAAATTAAAATTTTGCCCCCCCTCACCAAATTTTCTGGGTCCGTATGATCAACCATTCTTCTACTTATCCCCAAGCTCCTCTTCATGGTCCCACCTAGAAAGCTGATTAGCCCATGATTATAAAAAATTTAGACTTCAAGTAACATACACGACTAAAAATATAATATGGAGTATTTTTGTTTCTAAAATCCTAGAAATCGGTTTTCATAATTAGAGAGAGAGAACATGGTCTTGTGACGTAAGGGCTTAGGCACATCGAGTTGGATATTTTAGGGTAGGGTCAACCTATCCTAATTGAGGATGATTCAAAAATACTCTGTCATTTGTTTAACTTTATTAAGTATGGAGAAGTGAGTGAAAGAGATAGGACAGAGACATTTCTAAGAAAGAAATATAACGAGTCTTCTTCTCTTTTTATTTCATTGAGTGAAAGAAATAGTAAAAAGTATGGACGGAAAAGAAGAGCAATTTAGTGGGCTAGGGAAATTTTCATTTCCTCACAATTTAGTGGGCTGTATGGGCTTTCACATGAGACCTTATCTATAAATTATTCATTTGTTATCTAAGGAGTCTAGCCTCTTATTTGGTTGGAGAGCAGGCCCAAAGAATTCTAGGGCCTGAAGTCTAAGACCTTTGGGACCAGTTGATTGTCTTTAATGAAAAGTACCTCTCTCTATCTAGGCCCGGTTATGGGTTTCCAATACTTTTTAATTTGTTTCCTAAAAGAGTCTAGTGCAATTATTTAGTTGGGAACTTTTAGGCAATGAATTTGAAGCCCAAGCCTAGCAGGCCTTTGACCAGTTGATGGTCTCTCTCCATTAACCCCTCCAATCCCATGTCCACATTAGACTAAGAAATTTTTGTACAATTAGGATTATTATCAATCAAAACTCAACAAGTAAGGAAATGCATCAATTTTCTTCAGTCATTTATTTGCGTGTTGGGTTGTAATTGATCAGACCACATAGTCTCGATCACTCACAACTTGACACACAAATAAAACACTGAATAATGCTGACACATTTACTTGCGTGTCGAATCTTAATTGACAGGAATCATATAATCCCAAATCATCATGGTAGTCTCAAATCATTATATTTGTCTTAATTGATAACCAAATTAACCCTAACCTTAACCAAAAACCTTTCTTTAACTACTAAGTGCCAATGGGTCGAGTTGACTAGAATTATAGTGAAAAAGATTGCTTTTATTGTAATTGGCATATGTGTATTTGCCACAAATTTTAAAACATTTAACAAGTCGATTGAGCTACACTTCTTTTCTTTTCTTTTTTTTTTTTTCTTTGATTCTTCAAGGCAGAGGCAAGGAAGAGACAAAGTAATGAAGACGGTGGACTTTTAGACATGGTCCAACTTCTTCCAGCGAGGTAATGACAGTTAGGAAGTGGCCAAAAATCTCCATCGTGGAGGAATTGGACAATTTAACTTTCTCATTCCATTGTCAACTTCAATTCCACAAAGGAATTAAAACTCCCAAATGTTCTAGAATTGAGATATTTTTCTTATAATTTTCTTATAATGTGGCCGTACCTTGTAGGGTCTTCACTTGAAAAGATTTGGAGATTAAAGATCTAACAAAAATCTTAAATGTTGAATGACTCAAAATTGAAAATTTCTTAGCACCAAAATTACCAATTCATGCCTCCATTATAAGACTTTTAAGGCTATGTTTGGTAGCTATGGAATTAGAGAAAAGCAAATCAAAAAATTGAATTAAAATTTTTTTCAATTTTATTAATTTTAATTCCAATACTTCTATTTCATGTCACCTAACACAACCTAAGTAATTTTTTTTATTTATTTTCTGAAAAATATACTAATTTTTTAGGATGTATTTATTTTTATGAGTAAGTCATACAAACGATAAACCCTTGCAAATCCAAGTCATGCCATTGAATTCCAACTTGTGTGTTTCTTCCATGCTGAAAAGCAGTACGGTTTCATGCAGGAGTGCCATGATTAGAGATGGCTCTGCTAAAAGTGGCATATGATCAACCATTCTTCTACTTATCCCCAAGCTCCTCTTCATGGTCCCACCTAGAAAGCTGATTAGCCCATGATTATAAAAAATTTAGACATCAAGTAACATACACGACCAAAAATATAATACGGAGTATTTTTGTTTCTAAAATCTAGAAATCCGTTTTCATAATTAGAGGCAGAGAACATGGTCTTGTGACGTAAGGGCTTAGGCACATCGAGTTGGATATTTTAGGATGGGGTCAACCTATCCTAATTAAGGATGATTCAAAAATACTTTGTCATTTGTTTAACTTTATCAAGTATGGAGGGGGTGAGTGAAAGAGATAAGACAGAGACATTTCTAAAAAAGGGATATACGAGTCTTCTTCTCTTTTTATTTCATGAGGGAAAGAAATAGTAAAAAGTATGGACGGGAAAGAAGAGCAATGAGAGAGATTTTATATTTTTTTAGTACCATATACCTCGTCGAATAATTTGACCAAAATTTTTTGGAGGACAATAATATCATTTCTACTAAATTGTGAGGAATGAAAATTTTCCTACCGCGAAAGATGACTCTTCGTAATCTGTCATTTCCTTCCTTTCCACCAAACAATAGAAATTTCTTCCCTCCCTACTAACAAACAGAGCTTAAACATATGGTACCATCTGAATTAGGTTTGAGGAGACAGGTATGTATAATGTAAACCAATAAATGCCTTTTGGGGTATCCAGTCCAAGTGTTACCAAATTCAAAAATACGCATTAAATTGTACCACTTCATGTTAGTAAATGCATTTTGATGAATTCACTAGAAGATGTCAATTTTCAAAATATCATTATCATTATCTTAATGATTATGTCATTAAGTCCAATGAGTTATTGATTTTTAAAATAAAAAGGTATGTGTGAGTGTATTTATTATCGAAGTTAAAATAAATAAAAAGATTTATTGATTTAAAAAAATATGTTTCTTCTTTTTTGACTTTTTGTTTCATATCCCATTGTATAAAAATGTAATCCAGTGAATTTATACTATGTATAACTTCCATTG